TAGTCCCCCGCCTTGACTGCTTTGCCTGGTGGAAGTCCGACCGCATACTTTTGCACGACCTTTTCGATGACAGTTTGAGGGACGCACGGGCCAGCCCCAACTGTGGTGGCGAAACACCGCGCCCGCGTCCAGCGACCGAGATGGTGCAAGTACATGCTGTCGCGAGTTGGAGTCGCTCAGAGAACGAAAGCTGTCCGAATGCCGATTCGGCCGAAGGGATTTCAATTCGACCGAAATCGCCGTAAGCCAATGACCAAAGAATGATCAACGAAAACCCTGATCGCAAACTGCGTGGATGGTGTAGCGGTAACATTGGGTCTTATTGCTTCCTGCTTCCTGCTGCGACACCCACCTTTGCCGCCTCTGGTCCCCCTGCCCTTAGCCAGCAGCTTTCCGGCGGATGCTGACCTTTCTACACAGTGCACTCCATATTCGCCTCGGCGCGAACAGGATTTCTTAATTCTTAAACAATGCATTATAAAACTCGACGGTATGTTCCCTCATCCCGCTCAAGGCATCATTTACTGCCCGTACTCTTCAATGACCGACCGGGGTGTGATATATTTGCCAATGGGCGTGAATTGGTGATCAAAGCTAAGAAAACAGTTAGCCTGCAAACTTGAATTGTAACGACTCGGTGAAATTTTTACCCAAACGCAGCAGGTCCCCCGCTTCGCAGTCCAGCCTCTGAATGCCACAGGGGAGATCCAGCCATCGCAATGACTGTACAGCTCATTCAGAGGATTGAGTTACTAGTCGAACAGGAACATACCTGTTACCCGAAGCCCATAGCTGTCTATCATCGAGAAGGATTATAGCATCTCCCTGCGGCAGAAAAAAATGAACCCACAATCTTGCGATCCAAGGTTGGATCCACTCTGCGAGTCCAACACCGAAATCAGGTCAGGAACAATTGCTGCCAGCTGCACGGGCTTCGTCAACGGAATATCGTGGCTCTTTTCAAATTATACCTTTCGAGACCCGTCGTCGTTCTCGACATACGCGAGCAGGTTTTCGTTTTGGAACGGAATGACCATGTGGTCGCCGGGACCAGCAACGGTAGCAGTCGCCACAGGGCCCTCCAGTTCTTCATCGAGCAACGGCGCAATTCGGATCTCGCCCCATGTAAAGCCGGCTCGCACCTCCTGTTTAATTGGTGAGATACGCCACGCTATCGTTTCGACTCGAAACTTGCCCGTGAACAGCTGACAATCTTGCCGATGAAGAGGCAGACCCCATTTTGCAGCTTCAGAATTGCGTCAGGGATAGCCTTCATATTGCTGAATGGCTTGACGCTCAATTGCGCGCGACACTCGGAACGGAATCTTACTTGGTCTGGCGACAGATGCAAATAGCCCTGCCTATTCGCCAAGCTTGACTTAGTGTACGGGGTACACCATAATCTCTCGCCTCGTTGACTGCTAGTGGAGGGCAGCAGAGAGCCGCACACGATCCCATTTCGGTGGTCACGACCCGCATCAAATTTTCAACCATATGTTCGTTCTTGACCTTGGTCAACAGCTAGCCTTCGTCAGCGAGAAAGCGGGACCGATATATAGTAGAACACTCCACGACGACGTTATTATCACCATCGCATAGGGAAGAAGGGACGAGTCTTGAAATGTTGGAGATGGTAAGCTATATGTTGAACGCGGCAGAAAGTACTAACGCATTGGGCCGATCATATACAGCTTAACAGCAGTCAACGCGGCACACACCACGCTCAAGAGTCATACGGACCTGGTAGAACCTGATTGAGCTTGGGATACGCTAAATTCCGCGCATGAGCTAGCTTTTTCCGCTGAGACCGACGAACGCACCGCGACCCATAAGATCGCCATCGAATGCCGGTATTGCGTAGAGTCCAGCCATAACCAGCGATTGCATACCATTGCTACCTCCGATTTCATCGCTTGAAATAAAGTGTTCAGTGAAATGCGTTCAAATCTGTCATTGAACGCAGACCATAGCGTGGCTGCAAAGCTCGATACTCCACAAAATTTGGCGAGCTCTTCCGCAGCTTGCTTAATATCAGCGCCTGCCGTCAGCCGTTCCGAACCGGCCGAAGGCGAACCCATAAAGCCTTGTATATAGTAAGAATCTTCGTCGAATTCACTGGGGAGGCTCCTACCGCCACGGGCAAGGACCGCATCATCTGCTAGCGAAGAATGGTCGACGATCCGGAGCACCTTGCCGTTACGCAGTATTTGCCTCGTTTTGAGGTACGTTGGATATGGACTCCCACCTCCGCCCTGCAGTATGTGAGTTTGATAATGCGCATTATGGCGATTGGATTAACGAACTGTCCCGAGGACGCCGCATCCTTCTTGAAGGAAGACTGTAAAATTGGGTAAAAAAAAGAAGCGAATTTTCGGCTGGTCTTCGCATACTCACACAAATCTGTCTCGCTCAAAATCCACTCGGTGCCCACAATCTTTGGCCTATATGATAGATAATCGATGCCTTTTGCACCATCACTCCCATCGAGAATAATGTCTTGCTTTGGTTCGGCTTCCTCCTCTGCATCAACATGGTATGCAGCGTCGACTTTCGGGAGCCACGGCTCGTTGGAAATTCCAAGCTCCCCAATCGCCTTCACGATGATTCGCGTTGCCTGGTTGGTGACATACTACCAAAGTAATGAATGGTACTTGCGCAGACGAGAAAATGACAATCAAACCTGAACAGGAAGGATGTTAATCTCAGCGATTGAAACACTATTAGGTTCAGCTCCGGCTGCGACAGCCTTTTCGATCGCAAGCCTTTTGGTGCGCTCCAATACGTCGGGAAGTTTCTGTCCTTGCAGTATTTCAATGGTGTCGACGTCCCCCGAAACGTTTGCAATTGCAGCGCCGACAGCATTCGCTACGCCGTGGAACGGCGGAATTCTTTGAATATAAAAAAAAGATCAGTGCGATTGACAAGTCGTAAGGGGCGGCATACCTAATTTCTTTGACACCCTTGAGCTCCGGAGGGACAACGATAGAACCACCCCCAACTAGCAGGACAGTGCAGTCTTCGGGACTGGTTTTCATTCGGTCCACAACATTCTAATAGATCGGTTCATTCAACCTCGAGCTGCCCAGGATGGACTCTGGCAAACCTCGAGCAGTCTCTTCGTTACTATGTTCGCTTGTGCGACTATTGCGTCCGCGACATCTGAGACTTCATCCGCATCACCGATATCTTGGGCACCGGAGCACACAGCGAGATCGGTGGTTGTCAGAACGTTGCCTCCGAAAACCTTGGCATCGCGGGTCAACTACCCCGACGCGTACCGAGTGAGCCTTGAATGGAGAGGAAAGAAAACAACAAACGTAGTGTCCAACGGAATCTGGCCCAACAGTGACCCGTCCACTGGCATCTACCCTGACTCGAGAGCCTCCACCTAATCCAATGGAATTGACATCCGGCATTGAGAAACTGAGATTGGTTTGAAATGCATAACAAAAAAGAGTTCTAGGTTAACTGACTTTGTTCTAACGCCCGCAACTGGGTTTTTTATTAGGTGGAAAATGTATTGAATTTCCATCAGACAAACCTTCAATGAATGCGGCTGCCTGTCTCGGAAATCCGCTGGGGAGCAATACACCCGCATCTGTCGTGGTTCCGCCGACGTCCACAACAATCATGCTTTCCGCTGATCCTTCTGTCTTCTTGAGGTCAATTCCTGCCAAAAACGAGGCTCCTTCATGCGGAGTTAGAAGACGAATCAAATCCAAAATATTGAGCAGCGAACCGCGCATTGAGTTGGTTGCACCAGACGAAAATGTTCGTATAGGCAGTTTCGCAGCATCTGCCGCGCTTGTGAGAGTTCCATCGTTCTAGCATCAGAATAAGAAGTAAACAAACGGCGAAGGAGCAAATTCGAAACCAACTTGGGTGAGGTATAAAGGACAGACCAGTCCGAGTCGCTTCATGGCATTCTCAAACCCACGAATGGTACGCTGCGCGAATGCGCCGATTGACGCGTTGAGGATTGACGCGTTTTCGCGCTCGATGAAGCCCACTTGTGCAACTACAAGTTAATAGGAACTTCAGCTGAATCTTGTCTTTAAAATTAACTAATTTGCAGACCGTCGCGGGAACACACTATATTGATTTCTGGCCCAAGCTCTCGGAGAAGGATATCCCGGGCCAAGTATTCATTCTTCCCGTCGACATCCAACGGCGAAACTACCACGGAATCAGAAAACTATTCATCTAAAGCGGAAGCTCAAAAACTAACAGATACCAATGAGGACAATGTCCTTGAGACCCTTGGATTTGATGTGCTCGGCTTGTTCAATAACCTCGGCTTCGTCAATTTCGTTGATCGTGCGACCATCGCTGTGAAGCTTTAGTATTTAGGAAATGATTATTTATTGAACATACATCTGCAGTCCTCCTTTGATTATCGCAGTGTGTCCATTCATAAGTGCCTCAAGATGCGCTGGAAAGTCGACAAACTGCAGTGCGAGATTGTCAACTTTTAAAAATAAATCTCGAGATGGATAAAACTCACTGGTGGATGTTCAACAGTGTACGGAGAAGCTAGTCGAATGACGGCGACCTTGGATAGTCTCCTTGAATCAGCTTGAACGACGGCATTGACAAAATGCTATAGACATTATTTGAGGAGGCATCGAGAGGAGTTTGAACACACGGTAGTTCCAATAGTCAAACTGAGAATTTCTCCATCCTGTGGATCGATCCTGGCATCGGTGATGACCCTTCTCACGGCCGCTTCGATACCGTCTGTTACATTTACGGTGGTTTCGTGTTTAAAGCTTGCGATAACGCCTCTCGTCGAGGGATCTGAGGTCTTCGTGATATCTATTATCACCCCGTCGGTATTTGTGCCTATCCATGAGTGAGCATAGAACTTGTAGCAGGAACAGTAATGACCTCCAACATCGACACCAATGCGGTAGAGGCTGGTACGCATCATAGATTGGTATCTATGTTGAGGTCTCGAGGCAGACACCAAAAAAAAGATACAAAGTGGTACGAATCAAAAATGCGTGAACCGGGAGTCGAACCCGGAGCTAGGCCATCTTTGATTACGCCGATCACGGGATCGGAGGAGTGGGAAGACCCAATGTTACCGCTACACCATCCACGCGTTGCCAATGGTCTTGATTGAAGGCAATCAACGATGCAAGGACTGCCATTCGTGGGCATAGCTGGCATAGGGGGCCACGCCCAACACCTCGTGGTTCGACGACGACAACCTTTTCGCGGGCATTGTCCGGCAGGAGCACGGCTGGACATACGGGCTTATCTACAGCGTCAAACACCAGAGGCCCGTCATCAACCCCGTGTCAGCAATGGCCTCTTAGGTCGGCTTGACGAGTACCCAGTGCAAAATACCCCAGCCAGGATTTGCCTCGAAACTAGTAACTGGTGCGCTAGCTGAGGAGTAGGATCAGTTACACGACCTCCTTGTTAGGAGGACAAATTCCCCTGAGATTAACCTGCGGCGGAGCATGAAAGGAGTTGAACACGGTGTGATATCCGCAGAGGAAAATGGTGGTGTCGGAAAAAAGCTAAATTGCTTGCAACGGCTTGAATCGTCTTGTGGCCTTGAGACGGCTTGCAAGCAGTTTCAAGCATCTCAGCGACGCCTCCCAAGCGGCCACAAGGCACTCAAGTCACCCCCAAGGAGTCCGAAGCCGACGCAAGGAATGCAAAGCCTTGAGGTGGCTTGGGACAACTAGAGAGGGAGTCTGGTAAATTATGCAACGAAACACAGTTAACGCATAGCTCGTCTCGCACCAGAAACTGGGCACAACAGAACACCGCGTACAACGTGTTCCAGCGCAATGAAGATTGACAACTGCTGACATCTGCTCCCAAATCGGGCCGTCAGTCTGGGTTTTAGGGTGCCAAGATATCCCGACTAATATCATTCTGGTCGAGGGGAGGGGCAGGCTCTGCGCTCAAAGTCAAACTCGCAGCGGTGCAGAGCGCGGTAGTTGGTGCCAAACACTGCCGAGTAGATGATGTCACAATTAGCATATATCAATGTGACGGCTGTAACTCTTGCTCCACATCCTGCTCTCTTCCCAACCACCACCATCCGCCCCATCTCACTCATCGTGTGCCGTCGCCGTCGTTGGTACCGTCTGGCCCCGCCCTCATTTGATCTACATCAGATGGACTGTCGCTACTGGTGCGTCCATTCACTTAGTGTCCTCCCCCTCATATGACAGTGCCTGGCTTTCTCGGAGCAGGGACCCATTTAGAGGAGGATGGAAATGGTATGTGTACTCCTTCGCCTTCATGACCTACTGCATGCTCATCATGATTGTGTGCAGTGCTCCGACCCCTTTTTTGTCTATCTGTGCGTCGCTTCCTCATACCAGTGTTCGCCCAAGGCCCAAGGGCTTGACCCCCAAGGCCTTGGCCCAAGGGCTTGACCAAGGCCTTGGATTGTTTTGACCTGGAGACCCGCCCTTGGCCAAACCTTGGGCTAACATGTTTAGCTATTTGTAATTTCTGTTTCTATATTTTTTCTCCAGCTTCTATCTCCGCCTGTCTACAACCATGGTGGAGAACCAGTTTTGGGCGCTTTCCACCTGGGGGACGCCGAAAAAAAAAATCCATGTACTTTTGGATACCCTGGCCGACATAGAAGCATGTGTGGATGCAGGGGAGGACTTGCATCCTAACTATGGCGCTACCGAGATTGACTCAGACAACGAATATTGTCCCTAGACTAGGGTGGAATTTTCGCATCTTGTTGTGGCCTGAGATCCGTGGGAAAACTAAACCAAGGCCTTGACGGCGCCATTGGGTCAAGGCCTTGGGCTTAGCCAAGGCCTTGGGATTCTCCAGACCTCCACCCAAGGCCTTGAGGACGAACACTGCCTCATACTGCACAAAACTCGTAATGACTGATGAACCATCTCTAGTGCTCGGATCTCTCTACCCTACGTTGTATTTATATACCCCTGAATATAGATTATTTCGCAACATAGTGTGAATGTGTCCCCTGCGAGAACCACCAGAGAACGGCAGGTGCTGGTACAGGTGCCTTGAGAATGCCCGTGTGGATTCCGACGGCTTGAGACGCGTTGCAGGGCCATTTGGCACCCGGGGACCTTGAGAGGCCTTGAGAGCCACGGAGTGGCTTGTGAGATGTCTCAAGAACCTTACCTATGTGCACCAAGGCACCTAAAACCAAATGGCCTTGCAAGGGCTACTGAGATGTTTGGAGCCGTTGCAAGCCATTCGGGATTTTTGCGACAGGATGGATTGCAGGCAACGCGAAATGTCGCAAGCCAAAAGGAAGCCAGTGGAGAAACAACCCGTAGTCAAGCCAAAGTAATGCCTGTGAATAGATGAGGTAGAATCTACTGTAAGTTTATATACTCTATACTATAGGGTTCGATCATGAAGCTAGGAGCAGGGGTTAGGTACAACACCATAAGTTAGGGTGGCTTGTCTGATAGGGTTCCCACTAGGAGGATCCGCCTACTCCTAGCGGGATTTCTGCCGTCAGGGTTAATTGTAGATAGAGGAGTGTACGGGGTTTTATGAAGAATCTGGTGTCTCGTGAAGGATAATCCAAACCCGGATTGTTTGTGAGAAAGAATCTGGCATTGGGATTCAGTTAGTCATGAAAAATAAGCCAGTTCATGACACCCCACGCGCAGAGCAGCATTTTATTTATTTTCTTGAGGCGGCAAAGGTGTCAGCAGCAGCAAGCAGGAAGGTTACAAGGCCCAATTTTGCTGCTATCGCACCAGATTGGATGAAGAACCAAGCACAGAGAGAAGAGCGACAAAGTACAGCGAGGTAGGGAACCGTCTGAGATCCCAGAGTGATCCCATGGGATTCGGTTTACTATAGTGAAGTTGCGAGTGGGCATTCTGGTTGAAATCAGGGTGCACTCATTGTCGTGCGAGTCCAAGGCAAGGCATCCAGAGGGAGACGAGTGATGCCGAGTCGTGTGATGACTCTCAGTGAAGCAGTCGATATGAGGACAGGGAAAAGTCTCCAAAGCGTACGGGGAGCTAACGTTGTCGAGGACTGTGAGAGGGGTAGATTCTTGAAAAATCCGAGATAATCTTGACGCCAAACATAAGAAAAAACTCGCTTCACTGCGCAAGGTAACTTGCTTATTTTGCGCAGTTTGTTCTTGAACTTTGCAAGGCAGAGTAAGAACTATTGCAACACTTCGCGGGGATCAGCGACCCAGAACATCAAAGCACACGAACAAAGTCGCTGCGGACTGCGAGGAACGGGCTGCGGCGGGAGAAGGGTTGGTTCAATGGGTTGGCAGAGTTTATGAGCGGGCCGCCCGGGACGCCGTGATGGGATCATATCTCGCGGTCATTCCCGTCAGGCGTCCCATAGTTTATAACTTATAAAGCACTCGAGTCCTCCGAATCGGGCTGACGACATGGACCTCAAAACGCCCGTGTCCGCGCTTGCTCGTCCTTTGAAGGCCGGCCGTGCGCGTTTTCGAATTGGACGGTCAGAATTACTCGCGGTTTTAGCTCTGTTGGTGGCCACCAACTTCCTTGCCTTCGGTTTCTTTTTTCATCCACAACGGTCAACAAAGCTTCCATTGCACGCTGAAGCTACTCTGGCCCGGTGTCGCGCTCTCAATGCGAAGCCGGCACCCCCGCCTTCATTCAACCTCCGGACCAAGTCGGACAGGTTTCAATCTGGAACGCGTGCAGTTCTGGTCAAGAACGCGACCATATGGACCGGACGTGTTGACGGACTCGAGGTCCTCAAGGGAGACATATTTATGGACGGGGGCATCATTGTCGATGTTGGTGTCTTCAAACAGTCGGTACTCGATTTGCACAAGCATGATATAGTCGATGCACAGGTGTGACTTGAAACTATTCCTGCGCTCGTTCTCTAATTTACTGCCAGGGCGCATGGGTCACTCCTGGGTTAGTCTACATTCATTCCATCAACTCAACTCATGGATTCACTCAATTCCAGAATCGTTGATATGCATTCTCATCTGGCCGTGGAAGCCAGTCCTGCTCTCGCGGGAGCATCAGACGGAAATTCATTCAAGGGTCTAGTACTTCCGTGGTTACGCGCCGTTGACTCTATGAATACCCACGACGACGGCTTTGTTCTGGCCGTTGCGGGCGGGATCACGACAAGTTTGATCTTGCCCGGTTCAGCCGATGCGATGGGTATTTTGTGCAGTCCATCTAAATGTTCCTGCCTAATCTGGAACTCCAAGGTGGCCAGGGCTTCGTTATCAAACTCAGACCGACCGAGGAAAGGTCCTCGTCAGCCCTCTTATTGGAACCACCATATGGCTTGAACGGATCCGAGGTTGACTACAGTATTCCTCCTCGGTGGAGACACATGAAGTTCGTCGATTGTGCTGCGCTATTCTTGTCATTCTCATGAGCCATCGCTATAGACATGCCTGTGGTTCGTATAACATATTACGAGTTAGTAGATTTGTCAATTCTTCCTTTCAGGTGAAAATCCCGGTACGTATCTTTGCGATTCATTATGGCCCGCTTCCTATGCTTTATCTGGTCAGCAAGAATCTACAACGGGAATCGCATGGACACCGTGTGGAGTGTCCGCAAAGCGTAAGAAAATCGGTCTAATCATAGCCCACTTCCTGCTCAGCGCCCCGGATAGGTATGACGAAGCCCGAAAAATGAAGGTTGCCCAAGATCAATACTGCGCGCAGGCTCTGGCCGGTCAATGGACTGGCCTCGGTGAGTTCCCGTCGGAACTAGCACTAGAGGCGCTGGTAGACGTTCTTCGGGGCAAAGTCAAGGTACCCGCCCAATGGCCTCCATTCGACTCTGTTTGACTTCGGCCTACTTAGGTTCAAACTCATTGCTACGAGGCTGTTGATATCGATGCCTTTATAAGAATGTCCAACGAGTTTCAGTTCCCGGTTGCTAGCTTCCATCACGCACACGGTTCGTTTGTTCGTTCAGGTAGACTCTTTTCATTCTAAAATTTCGACAGAATCCTACCTCGTTCCCGAGGTTTTGAAACGCGGTTACGGTTTGTTGCACATACTTGAATCATTTTCTGATCTTACTTATACATAGAACATCCCCCCGCTTCCGCTATCTTTTCTACATTCTCCAGGTTCTTGTGTCCATCCTGCTCAGA